CACCAGCCCAGCACTACTCAGCACACCATCTCACCAGCTCAGCACTACTCAGCACACCATCTCACCGGCCCAGCGCAAAGAAAATTGTTACTTTTAAAAAATCTCACTTATCGGGAATTTTATTTTATCTTCCCTTTGAAAAACAGGAAAGCGGATTTGTGTGCGGTTGGGGCTGAACATTTGATAGAATGTGTTATGTCAACGAGTCTATGTGCCAAGTTTCAGATCGATCGCTTGACGGTAGGTTGTTCAGTAAGCCGCCCGAAGATTTTGCCAGCCAGCAATCCACAAACAAACCAAAGCCAAGTTAATATAAAGGATTTTTTAAAAATATTTTTTGTTAATGACCATGCCATGTCCTACTCCCTGAAAATTCTGCAGAAAAGATAAAAGACTATTGACATCATAAGGAGAATAAAAAGGACAGCGTTCAGGCTGTGTGAAGAAAATAGTAGAACAGGGATTGTGAAAGCTTGAAGAGAAAGACAGGGCAGTAAGATAAGAACTTTCGGCCAAGAGCCTTCCTCGGCAGACAGGACAAATAAAAATATGACAAGGAATAGAAATTATAGAAACTAGTTTGGTTTTTTTTTTTTGAGGTTTTTTATGTGATAGTCATTGTTATTGCCGGAAGTTGGGGTTTTCTCTTTCTTGTCTTAATCGAGAGAAAAGATCAGCCATTATGACAATAAAATCATTTGGTGGCGTTTGCTTACTCTGCACTTCCCTCTATCAATTTAATTTTTTTATTTATTAACCAGTTGTAATTGTCTGCAAAAAACTGTCGGCCGACATGCGTGAACTTGCCATCTACAGAAGTCACTTGACAAACCGTGCATTCAAGTGATTCACTTTACAAGAATCCTAATTACTGCTGAGAATTTTTACTTAGAGAATTTTGTATTCAGCTTAGGCAAAATAGCCAGCGAAGAGTTAACTGTCGGTGAAACGGAGATGTAAAGTCATTTGACTCGCCCCCCCTCCCCCCCCCACCACTGCTTTAAGCGTATAATGTTTTGTTCAAAAATGAGACCAAAAAGATTATCAACTTGTATCCAGACGCATGCTCAGTCAGTTCAAGGAAAAAAAAAATTAGAAAGGAAGTCATTGCATCAATATTTATAGGAATGAGAATCATTATGATGATATAGTCTAATGATTTATTTATTTTTTTTAATTGACAGTCATGCACCTGACATTAAAACGAGCTGTCTTTTCTACCCGCCACATACGCCGAGATCCCAGCATTGCCACACACACGCGACATGTTATTTTTCAGCATGGGGAATTCGTTGGTGACGTCAACATAAGCGGAACAAAATCCGGTGACGACATCGAAGAATAAAATGTCCGCTAGCGTCAGGCGATCGCCTACGAAATATCCGGTGCCATTTGTCTCTAGAATTTTCTCCAAAAACCTGAAATATCTGGTCGCGTCGTTCACTTTGATGGCGAGGATTCCGTTGGTCTTCTCGGCCTCGTCATTGAGGTGGAAGTTCCGGGCGACGATCAAGACAAAGTCTTCAACAAGGTGGGCGATTTCGTCGATCTTGAAGATTTCTAAACTCGTCTTGCCGTGGAAGCCAAACTCACGTGCCAGGAAGGCGTTGATGGCCAGGCTTTGAGCGAATATGACGCCGTCCACCTCCAGCAGGGGCGCCTGGCCGTAAGGGGCTTTTTTCTTGTACTCTGGCCAGTCGTCCAGCGTGAAGCGGATGTCCTCAAAACGTTTCCCAGCGGCTGCGAGGATGAGTCTAGCGACCTCACCGCGGCCCCGGATGTCGAAGTAATACAATTTAAGTTTGGAGTTTGCCATGTCCTGCCACGGGCTGAAATTAGATATACCAAAATGTTGTTTGTGGTTTTGGTCTTTATTTACATGCGATGCTGGACGATACAGTTTGTTAGATGCTGGACGATACAGTTTGTTAGATGCTGGATGATACAGTTTGTTCGATGTTGGACAATACCGCTTTTTAGATGCTGGTAGATACAGTGTGTTAGATGTTGGACGATACAGTTTGTTAGATGCTGGACGATACCGCTTTTTAGGTGCTGGTAGATATCGTTTGTTAGTTGCAGGATGATTCTCTACTCTTTGAGTTAGTATACAACATCTAGATGTTGGTCACGTTTAAACTTTTAAAAACAAGATATCCTTTAACAAAAGAAATGAGTTGTTCATATTAGATGATGTATTCTTGTTAGCTGATATATTCTTGTTAGTTGATGTATTCTTGTTAGTTGATGTATTCTTGTTAGTTGATGTATTCTTGTTAGTTGAGATATTCTTGTTAGTTGATATATTCTTGTTAGTTGAGATATTATTTTTAGTTAAGATTTTCACATCTCCCCTCACACCACAGCTTCCTTCACATTTATATCACATTACATTTATATCACATCACATTTACATCACATATAGCACACCCATTGTATTTAATGTCACATCAGATTTAAATCACCTAACATATAAATCACATCAAATTTATTTCACATCATATTTATAATCACATCATATCACATCAAATTTATATCACATTACATATAGATTACATCATAATTACATCACATCATATTCCATCATCTCCCCTCCCATAATTTCCATATCCAAAAAGATGT